GGAGACTCCTGCGAGTCCCTTGGACCGCAAGAGTCTCCTCCAGCACCACAATTCAAAGGCCTCAATTCTTCAGCGCTCAGCCTTCCTTATGGTCCAGCTTTCACAGACATACATTGCAACTGGGAAAACCATAGCCTTGACTATACACACTTTTGTTGGCAGGGTGATGTCTCTGCTTTTTAGCATGCTATCTAGATTTGCCATAGCTTTCCTCCCAAGGAGCAAGCATCTTTTAATTTCTTGGCTGCAAAATTAATTAGTGTGTTTCAAGAAAAAAATGTTATGTTCTTGGAAAAAGAGCATCGGAAGAAATGTCTCCTTCCTTATGTATTTGCTTGGACAATTAGACTTCTTCACAAATGCTTCTCTGGGTGCTGCCTCAGATGCAGTTAGTTGAGTAGCTACCAGGGAGGCCCTTCTGAGCTTAACCACCCTTTTTAAAGAATGCTCTACCCAAGTAAATTCAGTGTCCTTTCTGCCCCAGCAGACACTTTTATCCCTGGCACGTTATGTCTGTTAGAGTCCATGGCTCTCCTTGTGGATTTTATATTTAGTCCTGTGCTGACTGTTGTTTTTGCACTGTATCATTTTAGTTACTGTAGTCTTTTAGTTATTACAATCAACATAGCGCACCTGTATCACTGGGCAGGTTAAAAATGAAACAAAATAATACCTAAATGGTAAACTAATCAGTGTACCTGAAAAAATATTAGGAAGAAAAGCAAATACTAAAGCATTTCTCTAAAGTGATTGTTTCAATTCTTTATCTTTATTGTTCAATATGTATTTATTTACTATTTACTGTTAAATATCATTGCTCTCTATAATATTTATCCCAGGACAGTTTCCATCTAATTTCAAACAAAAATATACAATGAAACAATAAGTAAGAACAAACAAATAACAAATAAGTAATAAACAAATAACACAGTAAGTAGCAAAATACACAATTAAAATGCCAGTTAAAGCAGCAAAGTAAAAATTCTGAACAATGTTACTATTTTATACAAGATAGCATCTCACTGCTCTGTTTTTAAAATACAAGTTATTAAAATGACTGAGATAGCAAAACTAAAAATGTGCTAAGCCAAGCACCTAAAAGATAGTAAGTGAGCACCAGCTAAACTGGGTGCCACAGATGAGTGTCAGCAATGTCACATTTCTTGGCAAGTTAAAGAAATGAAGAAATGGATACCTGGCTTGGTTCCGGTGCTGTTTATGTTCTGCCCTAGAGTGCCAGATAGAGGGCGACTAGATGAAGCAGCTTTTTTGTCTTGTAATTTGGAGCTTTCAGATACTAAAATGAAAAGATGCAAGAAGAAAGATCAGTGAATCCAACCACTATGAGTCAATCCATTTTTATTCTGATTTGCACAAATCCATCAACTGGAAATAGGCAGGGCCACAATCCCTGGAAATCTCTTAAGGTAAATTTCTAAAGAGTAAATTTCTAAACCTCTGTATTGTAGGGATAGGCAGGCACTAGAGGTGGCTTCATAGAAAGGGTTTCCCATGGTCAGAAGGTAGCCCTCAGGAAATGCAGCTGTGAAGCTCCTGGTGCACAGGTAAAGGTAAAAAAAGGTAAAGGTTTCCCCTTGACGTTATGTCCAGTCCTGCCTGACTCTAGGGGGCGGTGCTCATCTCTGTTTCCTAGCCAAGGGAGCCAGCATTTGTCTGCAGACAGTCTCCATGGTCATGTGGCCAGCATGACTAAACACCGAAGTGCACAAAACGCTGTTACCTGCCCACTGAAGTGGTACCTTTTCATCTACTTGCATGCTTTCGAACTGCAAGGTTGGCAGGAGCTGGGGTGGAGCAATGGGAACTCACTCAGTTGTGCAGATTCGAACTGGTGACCTTTTGATCAACCAGCCCAGCAGCACAGCAGTTTAAACCAGTGTGCCACCTGCAGTCCCTCCTCTGCAAAATCTGCTTAGGCCATTTGGCTGCCAGGTCAAAAACAAAGGAGGTTTTTAAATGATGGGTCTCAAGCATGCCCTGAAGAAGCAATCAGCATAAGATCTTCACTGTGTTTGCTATTATTCACATGTTTTCTAAATACTTGTACCCCATTTTGGTGCTGTACTCCAGGTTTTTTAAAATATATGTATAACATATATGTATAACACCCTTATTTTAACAATTGTTTAATAAAGTTTCAATAATAGCTTTACTAATCATTGTTTTAAATAAAGCCTCAACATTACTTGATTTATGTATCAATTTGCAGAAAGGCCTTTGGAAGAAATAAACAGAAGGGTGATTGCTATCGACGTACATGTGCATGCAAACACTCTTCCTCCATCACACAGATTTGTGGCCTGTTGGAAAGGTAACTGATGCATAAAAGTATGCATGTGTGGTCCAACTACAGAAAAGATTAAGAACTTAGTACTGGGAGCAAAATTTAACATTTGCTTTGTCAGACAAGGTGCATTTAGACGTTGAGCCTGCAAAGGTGAGCATAAAAATGTGCAGGCAAGCTTGGATGAAATGTTGGAAAGTTAAATCTTCCCTGAAAAGGGGGTTCAACAGGACCCCCAGTGTCCAAGGATCCAGTGCCCTCTACTGTTCTCTGCTCCTTCAGCAGCTCTCAGATGCAGGCCAAATCACCTTAGAGACCATCACTGGATGTGCATTAGGAACCATGGCTTCATTCCCTGGGCTGTTTCACTTGTTATAATTTGATTGCATTTTACTGGAACCAGACTTTGTTCTTTTTATGTAAATCTCCTTGCAAGGGCTCAGTAGCAGCCAAAACACTTAAAGTAGACCATAAACAGAACAAATACCCATATTTTCTCAATGTACACGATGTATATAGGCCACAAAATCTGAGTCACCTTGGAGCAGGACTGACATATATTGCAGAGTACATGCAACATTACAGCAATTGGCATGTAGCCGCTTTATAGTCCTCCCTTCTTACTACATATCCTCACTCCACCTTCCTTTCCTAACATATAGGAATTTCAAAACATGACAACGCTCTAAGGCAGTGATGGTGAACCTTTTAGAGACTGAGTGCCCGAACCGCAACCCAAAACCCACTTATTTATCGCAAAGTGTCAACACTGCAATAAAACCTGAAAACTGAGGTTTTAGTTTAGAAAAAACAACTCACAGCCGGTCCAAGCAAATATATATATATATCCTTGGCAGCGCACTGACTGGCCGTGCAAATGCTTGGATGAGGCATGGCTCGTGACATCATCGCCTGGTGCCGCTACTCCTTTCTGAGCATGCACATGGCCTCTATGTGTGCTGTTACCCAATGCTCGGTTGCTGGGGCAATGCTGGGGCGACTTGGCTCACGTGCAGCCAGAGAGGGCTCTTGATGCCCACTGTGGCATGCGTGTCACAGGTTCACCATCACTGCTCTAAGGAATGGATGGTTAAGTCAAGGACATTGCTCAGAAAAAGGCCATTTTAGATTGGTGCTTAGAGATGGCCTTCAAACACAAGTTTTCCTAAATATGAGCCTGCAGTTGCTTTGGACATACCAGATGATCCAATACTTGAAAAGGGACAGTCCAACAGAGAACTCTCCTTTATGAACCTTCTCCCTTACGTATCGAAAAATAAACTACTAAATCTGCTATTCTTGGATAAGGTTCTATTCCCTGTGGAAAGCCAAGGTTAATCACTTAAAACTGGCAGGAACTACTAAAATTCACTGCATTTCAGAAAAAAAATACTAAGTTGCTGCATTTTACATCATTCAAAAACAAGAACCTCAAGACAGGGTCGGGCAAGCAGAAAGGGGTTCTTGTTGTAGATGTAAATAGATGTTTCTTGATGTAGAAAGTTTGAAAATGTCCTGACCAAAACATGCGGTTTTAAAGAGTTAATGAACATGAACATTTCTTATTAAAAATAGTTAATTGTTTTATCTAATTTATAATATTTCTAGATATCTATTTTTATGAGTCATTTAGTTCTTTCTACTGATTTCCCCCTGCATTGTGCAGCCAGAGAGGAGTACCAGGTGTATTCCAGGCTGGTACCTTCAGTCTGGTTAGTCGTTTCGGTAAACGAAGGGTCAGCCTACACATCCCAGAATCACACAGCAATTCCGCAGCGAATCAGGCAACTTGAAAATGATTCTCTGAAGAAACAAACCTAAAAACCAATACTGGGGTTGCACACCAGGCCAGGACCACCAGCTCGTTTAAGGATGCCTGCCGCTTCTGGCATGTGTTTCAGTTCCAGCCCCAACTTTTCCTTGTGATAATGTAAACAAGCACATGTGCTGTTCTTTGAAAGACAACCAACCAAGCAGACAGGACAGGGTTCCTTCCAAATGACCATTCAGTCACAAAAGCTCCCAGAGAGGTTAATACTTTATGGGCAATTCCCAAGTTTTTATGCATCTATTTAGTTGACAATGTATATCCCTCCCGTTAGCTAAGAAGAAAGCAAGACATTCTAGCCAGCAACAGTGTAAGTTAAGCAAACCAACTCAGATTAAAAACAGCAGAGGACATCAGTACTGCCATTGCATGAAATCACACTCAGCTTGCATTTTGAAAGACCTGGCAAAATAAAAAGGTCTTCACCTAATGGCAAAGTGATATAAAAGTGGGCCCTAGGCGAACTTCACTGGGGCAATGTTCCACAGAAGAGGCACCACAGCAGAATGGACCAGTCAGGCAGTCCCTGGCAGTCCCCACCCAACTTAGAGACCCAGTCAAGTCCTCTGAAGATGAGCTTAATGTATGGGCAGGTACAAACTTAAGGTGGTATTGCTGCACTTTGCACACTAAAAGGACAACACTTTTTCAAAGATTTCAGATAGTAAAATCTACAGCAGAGATCTGGTGGTTGTATCTATTGTGCAGTACTTACTGCTTAGATTTGTAGTAAATATTTTGTATCATTAATCAGAAAAGGGAATTTTCTCCAACTGTTTCAATATTCAGTTTTAAAGCATAAAAAGTTTTTAATCTATCACCAATATATTGATGCAGAATTGGTGCAGAATTGATGCACCAATATATTGAACCAAGCGTTTCCACTGCACATTTGAATAGTTAACAAAATGCCTTTTGTTGGATTAATGATCTACAAGGTTTCATAGGAGAATGTATATATCTTTGTAGAGTTATTAATACAATAATTATTGTTTCCCAATGTACAATTGAAAGCCTAAAGAATATTTATATTAACTTCATAGCCCCCCTGGTCCTCCTCCATAAAATCACATGTTTTCTTAGACAATTGGTAAGCACCCTGATGCATTCAAGCCATTGTTCAAGTCACAGAAGTGTTATAGGCTGCAGTAAAAGTAACACTGTATACATTGCACTATATGTGAACAAACTTCTGTACTATTTTATGAAGCATGCCAGAAACAATCTCTAGGTGCTGGTGATTGATGACATTCCGAATTCAATGAATGCACCGAACTGTGCATTGGAAACACATACTCTGTGGCATTAATTTTAATGACATTACGTTTGAGACTAAGCTGACATGGCAGTAATATTATGGGGGACATTTCAGATTACTCACAGCATTATGATGGGATGTTGCTTACGTTAATGTGGAAATATGATGGCCCCAACAGGCACATTCATTTAGCCTAGTGAAATCTGGAAACAGGAAGAGTATTATTCACAGCATGGGACCACCAATGGCCACAGGCCCAGGAGGATGTCTAGAATTAGCGGAGTCACCAATGCGGAGCACAGAGTTGTTTGATATTTTGTCTCATAAATGCATACGTTTGATTCAGCAGGCTCTTGGCTATCAAGACTTACACCACCAATGCAGCCATTTTTAACATTCCCATTTTACAACCCTGCTCTTTCACTTGCAGACTGCTAAAAATGTGATATGGACAGCTGGGGGAGCCTTTCGCGTGGGTTCTATCCAACCTTGCATGTGCAGAGTTCAGTTTGAGCAGCAGGATTCCCCCTTCCTCTCCTCCCTTCTACACCACTTCACATGCCCCCTACATCTACTCTGGATCCACCTCTGCACTCTAGAGAAGATTTGAAGGACGTGGAGGGGACTGCAAGAGGGCTGATGGAGGGCAGAAACACTTGGACCCTACAGCAATGTGGCACTTTTTCTGGAACGTGCATTTATTGTGTCATGGGAAAACTGTCTAAGAGACAAAGATGACTTACAGGGGATGCCCACACAATCACAGACAGGAAAATAAGCTATAGTGGCATATTGTCATGGGTAGGAACCACTGCTGGGATGGCATGTTGCCCTGGTTAATAAGCAGTCCCTGAACCCTACAATAGCCCATGGATTCTGTATGCTTCTTAGCCATGACAATAAGCC